GGAAAGAGGAAGTTTATAAGGGGAAGATCTGTGACATTCACAGGACATGGGAGCAGGAGGGCAGAGAAGGCTGCTGGAGTCTAGGGAGGAAGGTTAGGAGGGGATGGTGTGTGGGATTTGCAGGAGATGTGGTCAGGGGCAAGGAAGATGCAGCTGGTGGTTTGTTGTAGCACTAGGGACAAGTCTACAGGGTTGGGGATGGGGGCAAGGAAAGACCAGTGAGGATCTTCAGTTAGCTTACCTGTTTCCTTTTTCTGTTCAGCTGGTATGTTCCCAGTGAATACCTGCTGGGCGAAGGAGGCTGGGATAATGGAATAGGTTGGGGGATAGTAGGCTGGGGAGATCTTTGTGCTCTGTTGGAGATGGGACCAGAGAGGGAGGGGAGACTGCAGCAGGTTGTTTCCTTCAGAGTTGGAGTCTTCTTCCCTCTTCTGGCCTCCAGGAGCACCAGTGGTACACAGACATATATGCAGCAAAATACCTATTCACATAAAAAATGAAATAATATATATGTATATTCCTGATAACTAAAAATTAACAAATGAACCCACTAAGTTAGCTTCCACAGCCAGCCAGAGATGCCACTACTCTGTCATCAGATGACAGATAACTTCAAATGAAGTTAGCAGACACTTCATTTCATGGCATCCAAGGATGTAACACACCCCAATCACGTGTAATATAGAAAGTATATTCTGGGTGGGGGTGCCAGATTTGCAAACTCTTCAAATTTTCTCTACTTCAATAACTAGGAAACTGTAAGGGTAACACCCATCCTGCCTTCTGTGGAATTGTTCCAATGTCACCAGGAAAATCTTCCATCCTGTAAACTTCATTTTCTTAGCTTAATAAATCCCTAATATTTACTAGAATGGTAAAACAATTTATTTCATGATGATAACTTGCTGTGTTGACATAAAACACCAAAATGTAAAATACCAACTCATTAAATTTAGTCTTTTCCTTTCATGACACAAAGCACTTAAAAGTTCTTTGGATATTAATTAAATATGTGAACTTAACTTTTACTATATTGCCTGGTGTGTTTGTGTTTGTGTGTGTGTGTGTGTGTGTGTGTGTGTGTGTATGGTCTCCTCAGCCTCCCATGTAGCTGTGTGTACAATCATGTACATCATGCCTGGCTTTTTGTTAGCTGTTTTTTAAAAGGAAAAATAAGATGAATACTTTTGTTGGATAGTTGTATTTACTCTAATGCAGGAATATATTTAGTAAGCTACAAACAAAGGTACATATTTAGAGACTTAGCTACTATTGGGAATGGAATTTTTTTTATTCAAGTTTTAGATATTCTTGATGCGTTCCTGGGATCAAGTCCTGTCTTTGGAGAGAATTTTCATCTATGACCCCTTATATAACACAGACAGGCTTTGGAATTTTGGTATTTGATTCCGATCCCCTGGAAAGATATACCCTAAAGCTCTGCAATTCCTTAAAAAATTGACCACCCCTTCTTTAATTTCACAACCACTGTATTTCAGTGGAGTGATCTTGACATGGGAGCTAACAGAGTCGTGCTGTTTGATGGGTATTTTCTCTCAGAGTTAATGTGGTCAATACATACAAAAGAAGTTTATCAGAGTGATATTCAGACCAGTTAGCTACCTCTAAAATGGTTCCTGCTCCTGTGTCTATTGTATTGTATTTATACATGTGAGTTTTATGTAGTCTTATAGTCCAACTGTCTTTGTACAGATATGCTTGAGACAGAATTGGAAGCCATTACTACTTTGGTCTATATGAAAACACTAGCTAGCTATTTAGACCAAATGGCACGTTTAGGGCATTTCTGGGATGTTGATGTCATGATACTTTTACATGCTAGCGCAGACTGTGAGGCAGTTTGAGACATATGACCTTAGGGAGCTCTTAAACCTGCGAACAAGAGAAAACAGAAGAGTTGTCACACGTGTGATCTGCAAAGAGAAAAGGTGATAGACCTGATAAAGAGAATCCAATTTAATGCAGTTCATTTTGGAAAGAGATTATTCCCAAGTCTATCGCCAGCTCCATGTAAGTGCATAGTTGGTGAAAGAATACGTTTAATTTGCCATCATTATGGTCTTGTCTGAGTTTGTCAACTGCTTGTAAAAGGAAGCTGTTTTTGAAGCTGTGCAGAAGGGACGCCTAAGACACAAATAGGAGCCTTTCCGAACTCACTTCACCTGACACTCAACCTTAGCCTGGACCATCTGCCCTGAGAGGAGCTGACACATAGTTACTCATCCCTCTTCTCCAGCTCACACTGACTTTAAAGGCCATAGTGTGGATATAAAAGAGAAAAACAAATTAGACGTGTCTAAAGTAATTGGTACCGAGAAGAAACAACTAAACTCCTGTAATGACACCTTATATCCTCATAAACCGAAAATTATAGTGTAGCCATTTTTCATTTGCTATTTTAAATTGGTCAAAACATTAATGTGTTCTACTATGACTCCTTAAGATTGCATTATTTTGTTTTTTAACTCCAAAGGACAAATGTATCTTAGTGCCCAGGAGAATATAGTTATACAAAAAGCTCATCTCGAGATCACAAGAAATGAGATGCTATGCCTTCCACACAACTCAGTGATTAGTCATTATACCTGTCAGAAGGAAAGGATGTTGATGAACAGGGGAAAGAGCTGATGAAGGATCAGGTAAACCTCAGAAAAGAATCCCAAATGTAGATTGGCTTCCTGAGTCAAATGCAAGCTAAAGACTTTTCTCTTCGGGGTTGATAACCCAAAGAATGATTTTCCAATCAACCATGCTAGCAGACTTCCATACGAGATGCTGCCCAGCAGCAAATCCTCCAATATCTATTCTTACTTTAAAGTCAGTGTAAGTGCAAAAGCCCTAAGAGAATTTCCTCACTCTTGGCGATGGTATTTTCTCAGATTATGAATATTTAGACCGGATAGGTAACCGAGAGCTCCACAAATACACAAAGGTCCTACAGCACCTGCATGAATGCCTTAAATTTCCCCACAGGCATAATATCGGAATCAATGGAAGTACAAAATCAAAATGCTAGACCATTACCCATTTTCCTCTTAAGTAAAAGAACACTGACCCTAAAGTAGGATGTCATATTAAAGCTGTTACCAATTTATTTTTGCAGCATTGAGCTTTATTTTAAGGTTTCATTAGTGTTTGGTAGAGAAAATGTAGAACTGAGCATAACTGATAAACAAAAAAGCCTCAGGAAGTTTAAATTATCTTCTTTTTTTAGTTCTAAAAATGATATGGTTCCACTATAGGAAGGCAAAGACAGGCAGATCTCTGAGTTTGAGGCCAGCCTGGTCTACAGAGCAAATTCTAGGACAGTCGGGGCTACAGGGAGAAACCCTGCCTCAAAAAAACAAAAAAGAAGTCATCTGTGCATTTTAGTCAAGATATTGCTGTGTTTCCTGATTCATACACTGAAGCTTGGCCACACCATGTTCACTGGCCTTGTTGCAAGCCCACATTTTTTTGTTGTTGTTTTGTTCTTTTATCTTCAGCTTCCTAAGTTCTCCTTAAGTCAGTTCAAATCCAGGTACCCTTCATACCTGCTTCAACACAAAACCTTCCCTACCACCAGAGGGACACATAAACACACAGTCGTGCACACACACAGTGTGCGCATGTGTGTGTGAGTGCATGTGTGTCTGTGTGAGCATGAGTGTATGCATGTGTGTGTGTGTGTGTGTGTGTGTGTGTTCAACAGCACTGAGACTAACTTGATGTGTAATATCCACGAAAAAGAGCTTCTTGAATAGTTATTAGAAGTGAGAAAACATAAAAACGAATGTGAATTTCTCAGTAAAGCATTTTCTAAACATGAAAAATTATTCTCAAAGCTAAATTTCTATTGTACCATAAAAGTCCATCTTCTAAACTTAATAAGTCTGTATCTAATACAGTTTTAGCAACCATTTAAAAATAACTGTCGTAATATTGAATAATCTATACTTACTATGTCCCCTTTAAAAATTCTATTTAACTCCCTCCTCGGTGCCAAGAAATTCTGGAATTTAGACTATTTTAAAGATATTTTTAATCAAGCTTCAACTCCCACGTCTTCTAATAGTTGTTATAGAACACAGAAGCAAGCAGTACACAATAAAAATGGAATTTCCTCAAACATCTCAGTTTCTCTACATCTAAAAATACAGACTCCTGCTGAACAGTGGTGATGCTGTATGCCTTGAATCCCAGCACTGGGAGGCAGGGGCTGATCTCTGATTTTGAGGTCTACAGAGAGAGTTCCAGAATAGACAGGGCCAGGCAGGGCTACACAGAGAAACCCAGTCTCAAAAACAAAAACCAGAAAAACCAAACCTCAGCTTTTTGACATGTATTTCATCCATCTTATAGACATGGAAGCTAGGAAGGGGGTGAACTGCCACCTGCATGTGGGCAACAGAGTCCATGTGGATGCTCTCCAATAGCTCCTCAAGTTAAGAACTCTCGAGCCGGGGCGTTGGCAGTGCACGCCTTTAATCCCATCACTTAGGAGGCAGGGGCAGGTGGATCTCTGGGAGTTCCAGGCCAGCCTGGTCTCCAGAGTATGTGCCAGGATAGGCTCCAAAGCTATACAGAGAAACCCTGTCTCGAAAAAACAAAAAACAAAAAACAAAACCAACAACAACAACAACAAAAACTCTCTGCCTCACTAGGTCTGTATTGTCTTATCCCAGCAGCTGTCTTTTGTTTTTGTTTTTGTTTTTCTTCTTTCAGTATGGTTTTTTGTTGTATGTTTTTCAATTGTTTTTCTGTCCCTAAACTGCCAGAGCTGTTCCCTTCAAGACCTTTTGTTGCCCAATTTTCTGGTATATTTAGTTGTTGCTTGATTGACTTATTTATAAGGCTTATTTATCTGACCTGTTTCATCCCACACTTATTAGTTGATGAGAAGCAGAATGAGAAAAGCCACGAACCCTGGCCTTGTTTCAGCTGCTCTTGGATATTTTACCTGACAGACCTTGAGGGAGTTGTTCCACTTCTATTTGCAGCTGGGATAAGGACTGCATTACTTCACAGGGTGTTGTGAAGAGGAGAGGAGATAGAAATACCTGATAAGAGCCTGTCTCCTACCTGCCACTGGTGGAGTGCTCTCAGGTAAGGTGCCTTTTGTTATGCGTGCCTCTCAGTGCAGATAACACTAATGAAGTGTTTCTGATGAGCATTCTTGGGAGAGGCTTTCTTTCGAAATGTTGGGATAATTTCGTCAGTGATTTCAAATTGTGTGGGACTAAAGGGCTTTGTTCAGATCACGTGTAAAGGGCTTTTTGTTTTCTCCTTAAAGATCTTAAACCACACTAATGTCTGTGTAAGCACAACTCAAGGATCTAAGATTAGGGAATTGCCCAAGCATTTCACAGCAGAGGAACAACATTATCTTTAATGGGGGTGGGGGGGAGCAACGATGACGACGACAATGACATGGACTCTTGGTTGACATGTAATAATAATTAGTCATTATATGAGTCTTGGTTAAAACAAAATCAGCAGTATAAAAGTAGTATTTTCTGAAATGAAATAAAACAAACAAAATAAAGAGCAGGGGCAGAATACACCCCAGGGAAGGCCTTAAGGATACACGTCAGACAGTCAGTCACTCCTGCATTGGACCTGGGAACTGTGTCCTAAATGGAACATTTTTGCCTTAAGCCCAGAATGCAAACTTTTTGACTAGAAATTCATAGCCAGATTAGTAGGAATTTGCTTCAAGGCGTTCTTTAGAAACAGGTATGCCATCTGGAGTGTCTGAGGCAGGTGATTTGGGTAGATATGTACACTGAGAACTCTTTTGATGGATGAAGTCCCCCAAGAGATCTGAGATGTATGCACTCTCTTCTGTGAGGGCTGAAAGCAACTGAGAAGCCAAACGACCATGATGACCAAGTAGCAGAGAACTGAGTTTCTTTTTATTGATCCTTAGGAAGGCAAGGCTGAGAGCTGTCTCTAGGATTGTGGTCTGTAAGCGTCTATCTTTGGCTTTAGCTGAAAACAAACAATGGAATGGACTTTATATTGTAACAAAGTTTGGTTAGAGAGAAAAAGGAAGGACTATGGAAAAAGTTGAGAGACAAAAATATTCATTCAGTGACATTCATATTTATTTTCTAGCTACAACTGGAGACAATTAAACAATTAACACAGATTTCTGTTTTAGTTTCCAATATGATGGGCAAGATTTGATTTCTAATCTCCTCTTTCTACACATTTGGTCTACATTAATCCCAAACCACATTAATAGGGGAATATGGCAAACTTTCCTTTTAAGACATATCTTTTGAAACATAAAGTAAAAGTCACAGTTTATATCATTTTAAAACATACAGTTTTGCCACTTTGGATAAATTCACAATGTTATACCATGACCACTGTCAAGACTTCTTTCACCTCAAAAAGATGCCCAGTGCCATGAAATTGCCATGAAATTGTCATTACCTGTGGAGAAAGATTTTTTTAAAGATTTTATTACTTTTAGTGTGTGTGTGTGTGTGTGTGTGTGTGTGTGTGTGTGTGTGTGTGTGTGTGTGATACTCTGCATTCATTTTTTAAAACTAGAAATGTATGAGAAGGAAAGAGAAGAGCAAACAGATGAGAAGGAGGGAGGGGATGTCAGAATGCATTCATGGAAATCTTGTCAAGGTCAAATCTATTTGGGATGCTCAACCAAAATGAAGAACGGCGACCACACTCGTCTGTTAAAGGTCCATGACATGAAGTAAGAACCTGAACTTAAAATTATCAAGAGTTCACTCAGTTTTAAGATTACAGAAATGCCAATACTGAGAAAGGCACTTGGACAGAAACTCAGCTTTATAGTCAAAGCTCTGCATCCAATGGGAGCCGTGTCCTCAGATCTGAGGCCTTCCTGTAATAGCTGGTGATAACCCCCTTGCGTTTTTTTCCTTTTCATTTGTCTTCAGGTCAGTGGAGTAGTGAACAATTCCCTGTGCTATCTTTGCTCTGGGCAGCTTCAGATACAGCTGAGGCAACTGAGGGCCCAGGAGGTAAGTGAAAACACAGCTTGGAAATAAAAGAATAAAAACCCCTTTTTATTTTCCAACAGTAAATATTTGTTAACAATTTCCAATCAGAGTACATTTTATTCTGGCTGGAATAATGAAAAGGTTGCTTTGGGAACTGACAAGCCTTTGAAATAAATAGCTCAACAGGGACATATGCCTATCATTCTGTCACTAGAGAGGATGAAGCAGGAGGATTGTGAGTTCAAAGCTGGTATGAGTAACTTAGATTCCATCTCATAAATCAAATGTTGAAAATGAATTGAGAAATAGTCTTTTGGGTACCTATTTTTTTTTGTTTTTGAAAACTAGTTTAAAACATGCATGGATCTTTCAGTTATGATTAAGTTGACAAGAAAGCTATATATTCTGTTCTGAGAGGAAAAAGTTCATTTTGGATGAAATTTTACTTTTCAACCAGCAAATGCTTCTTTGGAAGGAGGAAGAGCCAGTGATGTCTTGTGACCGAACCTTTGTAATCTGGAATGTCAAGGTCAGGAAACTCTGTCACTTTGTGTATTACAAGTGTTTTGTGAGTTTTTATTCCGTTTTCTTTTTTAACTCCTTCCATGTTGTGAGCTCCAACAACACACTCTAATTATTCATTCTTGCTGACTTGGACAGAATTTTAAATCCTGGTCAACCCTCAAGCGCCATACTGCTTTTGCTCTCCTTGCTTATTTTCTTTCCTATTTGCTTCATTGCAGGTTCCCGTCTGGCCTGCTCGACACTCCCTTCGATTTTTCTTTTTTTGGCTCTGGGAACTCCTTGGTGACAATGGGGAACAGAAGTTCCATGTTACACTTTGAAGCACACAGCAACTGAGCTGTTTCTGGGAGTCTGCAGTAAATAGTCTTTTTAACTGACTGAAAGTTAAGCTGCCTGGAGGTTGGGGACAACTCTACACCCACCCTTAAGGCACACAGCAATTATTGTAAAGGACACAGAGTTCCCTGTTATTGGCACTCAGTGGCATATGTGCAAGGAATCAGGGTAGCTTGTATTTTCCTTGAAGATCAACAACATTAAAAAAAAAAAAAAGAAAATAGCCACAATTTGCTAGATGTCCCCTTCCTAAGTGCCTCATGTAAACATACTTTAGGTTTACTTCAAAAGACATTTGGATATACTACCCCATTTTACAATTTCAGGAGACATAGCCAAACCTCTGAGTGAGGAGAAAGAACTTAAAAGTTTTGTGTGAGAGGAAAGAGAGGGAGTTTGCAAAGGACAAAAAGCTGTTATGAGCAGTAAACTGTGAACCCCCTATCTCTACTCCGCAGACCTAGTCCCAACGAATCCAAAAGCACTCCGCCCGCAAAGACCTTTGGGGCTTCTGATAGAGAGTCCAGATACAAGGCCTGCGCTCCTGAGTGGCTCTCTTCATTAGCAGGTGCCATTCTGCCAGTGCTCCAAGTGTGCAAGCTGGTTGGAGTTTCAATGTTGAGGATCACTCTTGAAGTGTTGACGAGATTGACAAAGGTAAGGTAAGTGACAGGCTGGCACGAGGAGCAGGTATGCTCTGGGGATGTTAACTGAGGTTACTCGAGGCTTACAACCGGTGCATTTTGCTGTAGTTATAGTCATCCATTCCTTCAGGAGGCTACCAAATGGCTTTATCCATATTGGGCTAGACCCAGAGTCGAAACTGGGACAACCGGTATTCCTGGTAACCTCCTGTCAGATTCTGTGGAGAAGGCAGGAGGCAGGTTGAGAGCACAGAGGGAAAGCACCGTGAAGGGTGCTGTCTCCTGGTGGCGCCTGCAGGACAGATGGCAGCCCCCGGGTCTGGGCTGGGAGCCCTGAGTTCACTGACTGGCTTGCTGGAGGGCTGCACTCTGATCTTTGAGTCCCCTTCCTGCGCTTTGATTCCGCTGCTTTGAGAGAAGTCCCTCTCTACCGTCCGGGGAAGAAGGAAAACATTGTGCGCCGCAGGCAGGCCGGACGTGGAGGCCAGGAAGGCTGCCTCTGTGACACGACTTGTATTTACTTAGCTACCTGCATTCCGAAATGTAGCTGGGGGTGGGAGACTCCTTTTTTATTTTCTGCTGCAGCTCCCGCTGAGCTTTGCCTAGAGACTGTCTGGCAATCGGGTGGCCAGAGAAAAGCGCTTTCCTCTAGCACCTGCCAAACGACTCTTTGTGCAAAACGTCTCCAGGGTGTCCCCC